ATTCTCTCTCTCTCTCTTTAAAAAAAAAAAAAAGACTGTGTCTCAAAAAAATAAAGAGCTGGGGATGCAGCTCAGTGGCAGAGTGACCCTTTGTTCAATCTCTGGTACTGAAAAAAAAGTGTGTTTTGCTGTAATATGTTCCATTTCTTGCCCTCTATCACACCATATGATCCTATATCTTTACCCCTGGTGCCTGTGTAATGAATGATCTGCTCTGACATCTATCCCCCTGATTAGACTTAAGAGCTCATGGAAGTTACAAGACTAAATTTCAGTCATTTCTATGTCCCCAAAACTGTGTCCTCTGATAGCACAGTATAAATGGTTCCCTGAAGCTGTTGATAATTCTCATTATAAAAAGTAACTTCATTCAGGCATGGTGATGCATGCCTGAAATCCCAGCCATTCAAAAAGCTGAAGCAGGAGGATTGCAAGTTCAAAGACAGCCTCAGCACTTAGCGAGGTACTGAGCAATTTAGCAAGATCCTATCTCTAAATATTAAAAAGGGTTCAGTGGTTAAGCACCCATGGGTTCAATCCCTGGTACCAAAAAAGAAAAAAAATAATAACCCAACTCCAAGATGTCCTAAAATCCCTCTAGCATTCATATTTGTTTCTTTTCTTTTTTCTGTCTTTTTTTTTGTGGTGCTGGAGATTGACCCCAGAGCCTCATGCATGCTAGGCAAGTGCTCTAACATTGAGCTGCATCACAGACTCTGTTTGTTTTTTTTTTTTTTGTAGTTAATAAATACCTTTATTTTGTTTATTTATTTTTATGTGGTGCTTTGCATGTGCAAGGCAAGTTTTACTCTGCCACTGAGCCACAACCCCAGACCCTATTTTGTTGTTTGTTTTTGGCACCAAAGATTGAACCCAGGGGTGCTTAACCACTGAGACACATCTTCAGCCCTTTTTATATTTTATTTAGAGACAGGTCTCTCTAAGTTGCTTAGGACTTTGCTAAATTGCCCAGGCTGGCTTTGAACTCAAGATCCTGCTGCCTCAGTCTCGGGAGCCACTAGGACTGCAGGTGTGCATCACTATTTGTCGATCTGTTTTTAAAATGTTTTTAGTTGTAAATGGATACATTACCTTTATTTACTTATTTTTATGTGGTTGTGAGGATTGAACCCAGTGCCTCGCATGTGCTAGGCAAACACTCTACCACTGAGCTACAACCCTAAACCACCATTTGTTCTTAATTCATGCTCTTTACCCTGAAAATCAGCATTTCCTATTTCTAGCTGTGTGGCCTACACCATACATGGATAGGCTTTTCACTCAGGAGGAATCAACAGGGTGACTTCAATGGAGTCAATATTAATACCACCAAAAAAAGAACAATAATCACCAAGAGCTAGAGATACAATTCACAACGCACAATCTCCTAAGGGTAGCCACAGATCATCAGTCGTGCTTTCCTGATGCCAGGTAGAATTAAGCAGAAACTAACTGTTCTCTCAGTTATCCTGAAGAGTCAAGGCTCACATACAGTTCTACTGGTTGCTACTGGAGCTCCAATAAAAGCCTGTGTGTGGTACCAGGGATTGAACTCAGGGGCACTCAATCACTGAGTCACATCTCCAGCCCTATTTTGTATTTTATTTAGAGACTGGGTCTCATTGAGTTGCTTAGTGCCTTGCTTTTGCTGAATCTGGATTTGAATTCTCGATCCTCCTGCCTCAGCTTCCTGAGGCACTATGATTACAGGTGTGCACCACCATGCTGACATTCCCACTATTTTCCAATCTTCCTGTTATCTCTGATCTGGGAATACTGAATTGATTACTGTTGCAAGGACTGAATCCATTTTTGCAGATAGAACACTTAAGGTCTCAAGAGCATTGAAGACATCAGAAGAGAGGGAGCAAAACTTGGTCTAGAACCCCAAATCTTAGTTCTTGAATAGATGTTTTGGCCTCTGTGCTATCAAGTCTCTTCCCTGAAACAGGGCCAGAAAACTGTTTACAAAGGCAAATAAGAGGAATACTTGAGAAACACAACAGAATAATCAAACACTATGAAGTGTAAACCACAGAAATGTAAGGAAACCTGACACCATCCTTAAAAGAAAGCCAACTCAAACCCAAGGTTGATAATGAAGACATAATTTGAAAACCTCAAAGCCCTGTACTCTGTCCCTTTAGACTTAATTCTCCCTTTGGGGATTCTAGTTCTTATGGTCATTGTCCCCTGCCATACAGGTGTCCTTGGTGGGGCTGGTCTCGGCATGAACATACAGTTCTCTCCTTAGTCCTTGCAATACAGTTAATCTGATGCTGGAATGTTCAGACAAAACTTTCCCAGAAAATAATCAGAGATTAAAAGAGGACACTGATAATACATTAAATTGGATGATCTGGTTTATAAGACCCTTGATAATCTTCAGTTTGAGATCCCCTACGATTTACTTTCCAACCTGCCAGTAGAGCTTTCAAAAATCACTTGTTCTCACCACCTAGGAGTATACTTAACATCTCCTTAAAGTCTAGACCCAATGAAGCATAGCCCAGATACATGGAGTTATTTCTCCTAAGTTCCTAGTTTCTCCTCCCAAGTCAAAAGACACTGGAAATACTTCCTATAAGGAAAACCAGAGATGGTGGTCTTACCCTATAGTAAAAAAAAGTTACTCATTTTTATAGCACAACACAATAGGCACAGACAGAACCACACTTGGACAAAGTGCCTTTGGGGCACAGAAGAGAATATGAAGAACTGTTAAAGGTGAGCTTTCTTCCAGAAAGTCTAGTCCTGGTCTAGAATGATCTCCCGGGCTCTGAAAACTATAGTCTATGTAGCTAAACACTCAATTTTAAAATGCTGTATACTGTTCTTTAGTTATTTCCCAACAAAAGTATAAATACCTCTAGGTCAGAAATCCTCCTTTTCTAATATTCCTTCACCCATGGAGCCAGACATAGGAGATATTTATGTAGGTATAGGGAAAATACCTATCTGTATGATTAATTAATAATGTCACAAATTCCTATTAGCTTAGAAGAAATGGTCCTCTATGAGTAGGAAGCAAAGATCTTGTTTTGGCTGGATGCCTAAAGTGACAAAATCAACTTAAGACAATATCTAAAGTGTCCCATCCCACCCATTTGCCTGGAATATGTGCAGAGTTTTTTTGTGGTGCTGGGAAATGAACCCAGGGTCTTGAGCATGCAAGGCAAGCACACTACCAACTGAGCTATATCCCCAGCCCACGTGTGGTTTTCTTACTCTTGATTTTCCAAAACATTCTGGAGGGAGAAAAATGTCTAAGGAAGGGATAAGATACTGCCTTCCAGATCCAAACTGACCAAATATTCAATTCTTACAGGTCTAATATAAATAAAGAGTTCTTCATAATGAGGCCTTAGTTGGTTCCCAGTTCCTACTTCCTAGTCTTGTGCTCCCTTCAGGAAGAGTACAGCTGCATATAAATGCCTCTGCCACACCCAGAAGCCTTATGATCAGCAATTTTTCTCTACAGTAGTTTTTAAGACAATGGCCATGGTCCCTCAGGAACAGTACTATTGTTAGAACACCAGAACCACTCCAATGTGAAGGAGCTAGGAACTTATGTTTTAGTCCTTATTGACTTTGAAAGTATATAGCTCTTTTGTTTCCTTTGGTAATTTTTTCTTACAACAGAAAGGGTTTAGGAATATGTATGCATGCATGTGGGGAGCCACATTGAGTAACCAAGCCTTCCAGTCCTGATGCATCATGGGGATCTGAAAAATCACCGAAGTCTAGCTTGGTAGTGCCATGATTTGTGACTTGGTCCCCCACCCCCACCCACCTCAGATAACAAGAAGGTTCTCTTTGTGGGGCATGCCCCTAGGGTTGAGTTACACTCACCTGTTCCCTTGTAGTCTTGCCCCTTCTGCCCTTTTTTGGATAGAACTTTTTAAGAACAAGAGTCCCCCCCCCCCAATAAAAGCTCACTTCTGATCCTGTTCCTTCTCTTGTGACTTTCTCTTGCTCTTCCTTTTGGGGAGCCTGAGGCTGAGATCTGGGGAGGCCCTCCTGAAGCTTGTGTAAAGGTAAATTGTGTCTTTGTTTTATTTTGTGTCCCTGCAAATTCACAAGAGCGATCTTAGTTCAGCTGCCTGCACTGGTCGGGGGCAGCACACGCATTTATGTATGTGTGCATATGTATATGTTAGGTTAGGAGATGAAATAACAGCTATTCTTGGTCAGGTACTACATTAAATCCTTTCCTGAAAGACTTTAATTTGGCTCTTGTGCAGAAGTCACATTAGGTATATTACATGGCTTTATAGTTCCCCCAGATTACTTATATCCCTTGTCATGGTGATATCCTGGGCTATTTGACCCTGAGGTACCAGTTTTGGAACCTGGCCAACTTCTGAAAGCAACTTTTTTTCTAGCTTGGTCACACAGAAATTCAGACAGCAAGAGACTACTACAGAGACCAGTTGATGCCAAAAAGGAATTGGCAGGGTGGCAGAAACTTAATCACACAAACAGAAAATGGGTCAGTACATTATGACCTACTAAGTACTCAAAAGCTGCATCAACCTGGGCACAGTGGTACACACCTGTAATCCCAGGGACTTGGGAGGCTCAGACAAGAGGATTACAAATTCAAGGCCAACCTTGACAATTTAGTGAGACCCTGTCTCAAAGTAAAAAAGAGCTGGGAATGTAGCTTTAATCAAAGAGTGTCCCTGAGTTAAATACCCAGTACTGCCAATTATTATTTTTTTTACACAATACCTTTATTTTATTTTTTTTATTTTTACGTGGCGCTGGGGAACAAACCCAGTGCCTTACGCATGTAGGCAAGAGCTCTACCATTGAGCCACAACCCTGGCCCAGTCCTGCCAATTATTAAAAAAAAAAAAATTAAAAAGAATAGTGAGATTAAATCTATAAGAAATTTCAATAATTCTAAACTCATTAATAATTGGTTTCTTATTATGGCTTTCTTGGTAAAACAGGATAGTGTCTCTTAAAATTTTATGAAAATAAAGCTTTCATACCTTTGATGTGAGGTCCCGATGGAAAATGCCTTTGAAGTGAAGGTAGCTGAGGCCCACTGCTATGTCATAGGCCAGTTTCACCCTCACAGTCCAGGGCAAATGCAAGTTACTGTCTAGCAACTGTTCCAAGTTCCCAGAGTTGATATACTGTGAAACAGAAGGAAAAACCAACTATACTTATCACTGGAGAGTAAATACCTAGAAAATAGAGGCTACATGTTTATTTATTTTTTATATTAGATGTTGATGAGAATTTATTTTTTTTTATTTATATATGGTGCAGAGAATCAAACCAAGTGCCTCACACATGCTAGGCAAGCGCTCTACCTCTGAGCTCAGCCCCAGTCCATATTTACTTATTTTTTAAAAAGTTACCAAGGGCTTGGTCAGTGTTGCACACAAAGATATCTTCCTTCAAAGAGATCACAATATATTAAGGAATATAGACTAACAATATCAAGGGGTAAAAACTAAAAATATAGGTATGAACAGGTATGAGAGTACCATGCAGTGCTGAGGATACACATATTTATTTAGTCTGGGCATGTCAGAGGAAATAATCAGAAAGGATGACCTGGGTAGCATGAAAGGAGAATAATCTACACAGAAGAGAGCAGCACATGAACTACAGGTTAAGTACATGGTGTATTTAGGAAACTAATTTACTCAATGTGGCAAGAGTGCATGAATGAGGGGCTAGGGATGTGGCTCAAGTGGTAGCGCTCTCGCCTCACATACATGAGGCACTGGGTTCGATCCTCAGCACCACATAAAAATAAATAAGTGAAATAAAGGCATGATATCCATCTACAACTAAAAAATAAATATTTAAAAAAAGAGCGTATGAATGAACAAGGAGGTGAGGCTGATATGTTTTGCTAAAATACATGGACTTTATCCTGTCTCTAGGGAATAAAAGAGGAATTTTAAGCAGAGGAATAACATGGGTCATATTAACTTTTTGAAGACAAGATCATTTTAGCAATGATATGATAGGTGGATGAGATTGCAGAACACAGAGAAGGGGAAACAGGACAGTAGTATAATAATCTCAATAAGAGAAAGTCTTCTGAGTTAAAAAGATAGAGGAGGCATTAGAACAAGGCAAGATTCAAAAATATATTTACATGGCAGGATCAAAAAAAAAAAAACCCTTCATGCTGGGCATGGGGGCACTCACCTGTAATTCCAGAAGCTCCAGAGGCTGATGCAGGAGGATCACAAGTTCAAAGCCAGCCTCAGCAACTTAGTGAGGCCCTAAGCAATTTATTGAGACCTTGTCTATAAATTAAATATTAAAAAGGGATAGTGGGGCTAGGGACGTGGCTCAAGCGGTGACGCGCTCGCCTGGCATGTACAGGGCACTGGGTTCGATCCTCAGCACCACATAAAAATGAAATGAAGATGTTGTGTCCACCGAAAACTGAAAAATAAATATTAAAAAAATTCTCTCTCTCTCTCTCTCCCCCCTTTCTCTCTTTTAAAAATCAAATAATAATTTTTTAAAAAGGGATAGGGATGTGGTTCAGTGGTTAAGCACCCTTGGGTTCAATCCCTGGTACCAAACAAAAAACCCTTCATGTTTGCCTGGATTGGGGGACAAGAACAATAAAAAGCTGTAGGATGATCCCAGGCTACTGGTACCTGGATATCATTATTTATAGTTATAGATGGACACAATAGCTTTATTTTATTTATTTATCTTTATGTGGTGCTAGGGATTGAACACAGGGCTTCACACATGCTAGGCAAGTGCTCTGTCACTGAGCCACAACCCCAGCCTTGGATATCATTATTAAACATCCAGAATATGGGGAGCAGAATAAATATTAGAAGCAGCAGCAGCAAAGTTAAAAGACGTGAGGTCAGCTGGGCCATGTTGAATTTAAGGTACTTGTAGGACAACTGAAGTAGAGATGGCCTTTAAAGAGTCAGTTTAAAATTGAGAAAGAGGGCAGAAGACTGTCATTTACGAGGCAACAACATTGAGCTGAAGCAGTCATTGATGCCCAGGAATTCAAGACATTGTCCAGGGTTAACACATAGGTATAAGAAATTAGAGTCCTGAGGGACAAGAAAATATAAAGCAGCAGCAGAAAAGGAAGAACCAAGCAAGAAAGTCATCTCAGGCTGGGTGTGGTGTTGCACACCTGTAATCCCAGGGGCTCAGGAGACTGAGGCAGGAGGATTGATCGAGAGTTCAAAGCCAACCTCAGCAAAAGTGAGGTGCAAAGCAACTCAGTGAGACCCTGTCTTTAAATAAAACATAGAATAGGGCTGGGGATGTGGCTCAGTGGCCAAATGTCCCCGAGTTCAATCGCTGGTACCCCTGTCCCCCTGCCAAAAAAAAAAAGAAAGAAAAGAAAAGAAAGTCATCTCCGAAGACAAGAACAACATTCCAAACAAGAAATGACCAACAGTATCAAATGCTATAGATCAAGTAAGATGTGCTTGAAAGAGTTCACTAAATTTGCAATTACAAAGTCACTGGCAACTATGATCAGAGCAATTTCAGTGAAATGGGTAAGACCAAGGAGTGAATAGGGGATAAGGCTATGGAAAAGCTACATGAAGATGTACTCTTTCAAGCAATTTGGTTGTGCTGGGCACACACCTGCAATCCCAGTGGCTCAAATGGCTGAGGCAGAAGGATTGCAAGTTCAAGGCCAGCCTCAGCAACTTAGCAAGGCCCTGTCTCAAAATAAAAATTAAAACAGGCTAGATGTGGCTCAGTCGTTATGTGGCCCTGGGTTCAATCCCTAGTACCACACCCTGCCCCCACACACAAAAAAAATCAAGTAATCTGGTTGTTCTTTGTCATTTCTTCATGGTCATGAAGCACTTCTTTGATTGAATCCATGCATATTCTACCACTGAACTACATCTCTAGCCCTTTTTATTTTTGATTTTGAGACAGTGGCTGACTAAGTTGCTGAGGCTGGTCTTGAACTTTCAATCCTTCTGCCTCAGCCTCCCAAGTAGCTGGGATTACAGACATGTGCCACCACACTTGGCAACAGCAAGTAATTTTTGCAGCTAATATTTATAAAGTGTTTATAATGTGTCAGATACTATTCTGAGGACTTCATGTATATTATCTTATTTTATCTACACAACAAACCTATGAAGTAAGTGTACTAAGAGACTTAAGTATCCCTTACCTGCAATGTTTGGGACCAGAAATGTTTCAGATTTCAGAGCTTTTCTAATTCTGGAATATGTGTATAGTGTTTATCTGTGTTACTCTCATTTTACAGAAGGCATTTAAAGGTTAAGCAACTTATTCAAGGTTACCCAATTATTAAGTGGCAAGTCAGGAAGACAATACAATCTGGCTCCAGAGAAAAAGCTCTTTACAACTACATTACATTGAAGAGTTAAAGACAGTGGTGACCGAGTCAGAGAGCTTCATGCACAATAGGAATTAAAAAATAAATATAACTCTATAGGATGTATTATTTCCAATATTCTCCCAAGTAGAAAAAAGGGGCAGATTCCTCTAAGAGTAAAATTTGTCTCTAATGCTTTTAGGGTGGGGATGACATTGAATTTACAAAGGAATGGGGAACCTAAAAGGATAAGAGGTGAGAGATTTGAATTCTAGTCTAATTTTGCCTCCTGCTAGCCCCATTTAACTCTGGACAAATCAACTAAAAGGCTGTATCTCCTTAGGTTTTCCTATCTATCAAGTAGGTTTGATAACCTCTGATTCACCTATTTCATGAAGTTACTATGAGAATCTAATAATTTTTCTGATGTGGTAACATAAGCACCAAAAAGAACCAGCTGGGGGCAGCATCATGCAGCACATCTGATTCCTTTAAGAGATGGATCAGGTTTGGTGGGGTGGAGAGAATGACTAAAGATACACCTTCTTACTTCTCAAAAGGGAAACCTGTCCATCTGCTTCATCCTGTTTGATAACTCATCTTTTAAAATCTTAAAATCATGTGTAATGAAGCACAATATCTTCTTTTCTTCACTCTAGCTAAATCTGCCCAAGGTTTATATTTAAGGTGTTTATTAGCTGGAAAAAAACTGAACTGGTCAACTCCAAACTATATGGGGGCAACAAAGCTGACATCTAATCTTGCAGTCAAGTTTCTTTAGCTCTAAGAGTCAAAATGTCTGAAGAGGTAAAAGTTCACTTTTTTGGCACAGTGAGAATGTGACATAGAAGGCTAGTTTTCAGGAAACACTCAGGTTCACCCCCAGTGAGTGTTAACACTGTATAGCCTCATTCTGACTCTCTGAAGGCCAGATGAGGCCAGGACTCTTGGTTTGGTTCAGAGAAACACAGGGTCTGTTCAGCCATGTCTCTGAAAATCTAAGAAATTCACAGACCAAGCCAGAAGATAGAGAGCATAAGAAAAGGTGGGATAAGATGAAGAATCATACTAAAAGACTCTGGCCTTTCCAGACAAGATGGAAAAAGCACAAACCAGGACCAAAGAGGAAAACAAATGAAGTTTATTTTTAAAACCCATTTATTTTGCTTGCCTGTGATGAAGACATTGGTAGAACTGATAAGCCTTCGGCACTCAGAAACCACAATTTCTCAACTTCACAATGTCTTAAGACCTGTACATGTATGAAGAAAGGAAGTTTGTGATCTGCCAGCAAGGAAGATTTCTAGGTTGCTACAATGCTATGTGCCCATTAGTTGGAACACTCCCTTCCCAGAAGCAACTCCTATTACAGACTCAGCTGTGTAGCCTCTAAACAAAGGCCTCAGTGGGAAGCAAAGGTAAGAGCAATTGCACTAGCACATTCAGCTTTCCCAGATGGGGATAACAGATGCTCAGCTTGTGTTTTCTTCCAAACTACTCCCTTGGGCAGCCCTATGGGACAATCTAAGGCACTAGCCATTAAAAAAAATTTAATTAATTAATTAATTAATTAACTAATTAACTAATTAATTCATTTTATTTTTGCAGTACTGGGGATTAAACCCAGGGGTACTCTACCACTGAGTTCCATCCCTGCCCTTTTTATTTTTTGAGACAAGATCTTGCTAAATTCTCAGGTTGGCCTCCAACCTGTGATCCTCCCGCTTTAGCTTCCTGAATCTGGGATTACAGGTATGTGCTATCACAACCAGTGCATTGGTAATCTTTAAATAATTTAGAGAAGCTTTATCATTTTTT